GAAGAGGCGATTGAAATCATGACTTGTTATTTTCATTGCTGATAACTTTAAGTGAGTTTGGTTAGGTTTCCATTTTTTCTGTACTCAGGTATTGACGCTTTCGTTCACCTTAGCTAAGGTGTTATCCCTGAGCCTAACAGATCTTTTATAGGAATCGTGTGTCTTTTTAGGTCCAGTGTATGACCAGCGAAGGACATCACATTTGCCTTTCGGGTCTGTTCTTCAGAATGGTGGTTGCTTAGATCTTTGGCCAAAGGAGGGACATGGCTAGTGGTTTTAATGCAGGAAGACTGAATACTGATTCGGGGTTTTCAGGCATTCTCTTTGATTGTGTTCATCCCTCATGCACTCTATAGAGGATTACCTTAGGTTTTGGTTGCCAATTTGAGCCACGTAGGCCTGGTATATAGCTTTTTTGCTTTACTGTTTCGACAGATCATAACGAGCATTCATTCTATCAAGGGTTCACAGTAAACATTAAGTTAAAAATGGTATCTGGCTGAAATTCTGTCAACTACTTGTTACTAATTATGATTATTTAATAATTTCTTTGAGCTTCATAATCTACAACTTTTTCCACATTTTATTATATAACCAATCTGCTATAGGAACAATATCAATTCTTTTTTATGCCTAGGTGCTATCATTCTGTGAGCAGTATGTTTCATGTTCCTCATTCGTTCCTGGCCACTTTTCGTGTCCAATTTGTTTTTTACAACCACCACTCCTTGATATAGGTTCGAGTAGATTTCGAGTGTCTGTAAATACGAGTAGACTTGTTACATCTAAATTGATTTGTCTATAGCGTGTCGAACTCTCTCTGCAGTTAAACCTAATATTACCGCTTAAGGCTTGAAGGCGTCCATCCAACATTCAAACCACAAGTGATGCTTAAATTAAATGTCCATATCAATTCTCTGCTTATTTTTCTCTTGAATCAGCTTATGTTTGCCTTGGCCTACGCTATATAAGCTAATTAAAAGTTGGCCAGCCGAAGGTTTGAAGACCAAGATAGTGTGGCCTTTTGTGTGGTCGCAGTCTCCTTTCGTTGTATAGAAGTTGTT